AATACCACTTTTAGAAAAGAACCGGTAGCTATGAAATACCGTCTCTGAAATAACATATTCGCCAGAGCAGTAGATTAAGGCTACAGAACTGACAATGAAACCGCTTCCTTCAAAAACAGTTCTTCATGACTCTGTAATACATGATTGAGGCAGCAAAGTGGTATAAAATAATACCACATAAGCTTGCTAGTACAACCGCAGGTAGAGCATATTTAGCATTTATTAGAAATATTTTAACGTCATTCGCTTTCAGAGGAAGCCTAATAGACTAAGACGTAAGACAAAAAAGGTAATGTATAGGACTTAACGAAAACAATAGAAATACATCAAAGACGTATAACAAAATCATATTAATTTTTCTGTCAGCCTTTTAGAGTAAATATACACTCAAAACAAAAAAGACCAGCGTACAAAAAAATGTTAGCATTTTAAAGCCAAAACAAAACAAAAACGCACAAAAGGATTTAACTGATTTCACCACTTTTTTGATAAATGAGTAAAAAAGATCCAACTAAAAGGCTTTTACGTTATCTTTGTTTGTATGTCGCTAGGTCTGTATTGATGGCGATAAACACATTAATCATTGGCTAGCATTTATCTGTTAAACCAAACATCAGAACCACCGCAAACATCGGCGGAAATTGAATAGAGAAAGCCAATTTTGTCATGTGCATGTGCACGAGCCGCGTGAGGCATTCGGCACGCGCCGCTCGACGTGCACGAGGCGTTGCTGTTCACGCGACATTATTTATTTTTCATGAGGTAAGTTTCTTTGACTGAAACCCTTTTTCCTTAACTGGAAGTAGCTATAAAAAAGTTCCCTATTTGCTTTTGTATTTAGTGTTTATATTTAGAACACTTTGTGTTTTAACAAATGGTTGACGCACCAGATCAAGTTGGAAAACGAAGACAGAATTGCACAATCCCTGCGATGTGCCTTGAGTACCCTCACGTGCGAAAAAAAGCGAAGTTGAATAAGGGTTAAAGTGTGCCTGATTTAGTTTGAAAACTGCCTCAGCTTACTTGTCTCCACGTGATTTAAAGCAAAGTTTAAGGGACGGAAAGGGACGGAGGTCAAAGGTTGCAAAAAAAGAAAGAACACTTATAAACCATACCATCTAAGAAAATGCACAGTTCTAAACGAAGATGTCTCAATTTCACTTGCATTTCGCCGAGTTCCATTTGCCAAAGTAAATTACAACTGAGTCTTTCATTGTAACTTTAATGTCAACATGACCACATCGATGCAGAAGTTTCAAAAATTTTTACACAGGAATCATCGAGGATCATATGATTTTTGCTTACAGAATACAGAGTTCTAATGCATTGTTGATTGCTCAAGTTTACTTGCTTTTTAAGTTCCATTTGGAAGGTGAAAATTATTACACAGTCTTTTACTGACGTATTATTGTCCACTTGAATACCTCAATGAAGACATTTTACACATTTTAATATCGGAAGTACGAAACATCATGCATTGCTGCAGCAAAGTTTTATTGGCTCTTGGTCTGTCAAAGGACAAACAAGGTTACTGTAATTGAAGTTAAGTGTCAAAGTTTATTAATATACCGGAAAAAGTCTAAGAATGAATATGACTTATGTGGCTGATAAATATTAAAACTTACGTATTTGATTTCCAGCTGTCCTCGGCTTCTTTTTTTGTTTTTTTTTTCCTTTTTTTCCTTCTTCTTCGTCTTTTTGGATGTTTTCACCTTTTTTCTCGGTTTTCTCTACCTTCATAAAAAAGAAGCGATAATGCCACAAAGATTATTTGACTTGCCCATAGCCTTCAACCGTATAAGCAAGCAAATGCACTACATTACGTAAGGAAAAAACTCTACAGCTAAGTAGCTAGTTAAAATGTTTTGTGAGGCTTAAACCTGAACTCCCGCCCTCGCACAAAAATATGAACCCCGTGTTTATGGTGGAAAATTATATTAAAATACATTCATGGACTTCACAGAGGAAATGCAGTTTAATTTACGATTTTATTCATCTTTATTTTGTTTCGTAGGTTGATAATGTTTAACCCCCCTCACCGTATAAACAATTCTACATACGGCCCACAAAATTAATTACCAGTTTATCTTTTCTTTCTTTTGACGAACCGGCGACAAAGCCTAGGCATGCAGCTTCTTCTAACCTTATCTTAGAAATTTGCAAATATATTGGGTTTAAGCTGGGTTTATAAGGCACTATCGCATCCAGTGTTTCTTAATTTTACTGTATTTAAAAAGAAAATGAACTTTGCCATAATCTGTTTTCAACTGCATTTTCAGTTCCGTTCAAACTAAGTTTGCATCTACCATCAAGGAAAGATTAAAGAACGAACTATTGTTTTGTAGAAGAACCAAGAAACCTTTTCTTTTCTTTTTTTTTTTTTAATGAATCACCTACACGCCTTATCTTTGATGCCTAAACAGATAATATTGGAGGATATAATTTTACCAATGTGTGCATGCTCACGCTGGGTCTGTTACGTAACAGTACTACCAGTGAATGTACGAAACGTTTATAAGATCGAGAAACCGAAATCGTCATTTAATCGAAAGTATGAATGAAACATGATTTGAAAAAAAAATTGTTTTCTGTGCTTTAGCTCTATTCATTTTTGTTTTTTCTACCTGTTTGTTCTGACATTCTGCAAAACTACCGCTTAAAAGCCCTAGGCTTTCTAAGGCATGTTCTAAGGGGTTTTAGGAAGGAGTTTCAAACGGAGGGGCTTATATCCGAGGGGGCTTGTAACCAGAATAGGAAAAACACTTCAAAACAAGCTGTAGCAGTGTTGATCAAAATACATTTTGCATTTACTGGTTTTTAATTAAGTTTCAAAAGGTCATAAAAATCGAATTCATTTCAATACATGATGTATTGAAATGAATTCGATTTTTATGACCCAGGTTGGCTTGTTATCAGGAGGAGCTAATAATCGAAGAAAGCAAACTGAGCAGGAGAAATAAAACCCAGAAAGCCTCAACGAAAATCAAAAGGAAGCGAAGCAAAACAAATTAAACACAAGCTGTTTTTAATTCATTTACTAGTTCGTGTTTTTCGTTAGATATATTTCAACTATGGATGTTTTTCAATATAAATCCTTTTTTCACTCTCATGTTATACCGACACACCGTACACAGATGCTTGGGAACTTTGACTGTGATATTTCGGGGGAGGTTGCTTCCGAGTAATGAGCACAGGGAACAAAACAGAGAATGAAGTTACCAACGGAGCTAGGGTTTAAATTGGGTTTTGTTGGCATTTTTACATTTTCCGGTTCCCCGTTCCCCGTTCCCTGTAACCTCCTATAAAGCGCTACTATACATCTGTCATACCAACAGCATAAGCAATTTCTCATTCGACTGAACAATGGCTCTACGGCAACTTTCTCGTTTAGCTAGGATTTGTTGCTTATTGCTAGGCGTAATCCTCATCATAATCCTCCTACATAAAATTTCTAAAGTTTAAAATTATTTTAGGATTAAAATTTAATCCTCCTACATAAAATTTCTGATCAATTTTGTTCTGTTTTTCTGTCGGCCGACCGCGATAACTAATAGAAAGCTTTAGCAACCACGTCGAAGATAGCTGCAACAAACGTTCCTTTTTAAAATGAATCTGATTCGCATTTTTTCAAACTTTGTTGCGCTTTTTCTTATTCGCTGAAAATGTCACATGTAGGGGAAGGTCCCTGGAGTTGATTTCTGTGGGGACAGCGCTCTAGTTCATCGCCGCTTGTCTACGCCCTCCATAAAATTTGAAATAACTAGGCATTTTACCGTCGATTGTAGTCGTATAGTGACGGCAAAGAAATGTACAAAAAAGTGTGATGCACGTGCAAAGTTGTTGTTTTGCTTAATAAAGCTATTAGTTTTTTTTGACGTTCTCATTGCCATCGCCGTCGTCGTAGCTAAAGTTCCCTGTTTTCGCGAATGCGAGCATGCTAGCTAGTAGGAACGAAGCTTCCTTCACGGCTAGTTCGCTATCTCTGGAGCCTGAGTGGTCCTTCCAAGCTTAGACTCGACAGACTGAAAATCATCAGTAGAAACTTCTTGCAGTCTAATTTGTCAAATGTTGGAGAAGTTTTTTTTTTTTTGTATTAATATANTGCGAGCATGCTAGCTAGTAGGAACGAAGCTCCCTTCACGGCTAGTTCGCTATCTCTGGAGCCTAGTGGTCCTTCCAAGCTTAGACTCGACAGACTGAAAATCATCAGTAGAAACTTCTTGCAGTCTAATTTGTCAAATGTTGGAGAAGTTTCCTGACAGAAATGATTCTTAAGGACTGTATCCTCATAAAACGCAGCGCCGCATTAGGAAGTTTCACCTATTTCTCTCTTGGTTTCCATGATTCAGGTGTAGACCTGTTATTTTCAGTGCTCATAATACCAATTCCTGTTGAATTTCTCGTTGAGACTATCGTCTTGGTAGCCAACGTAGCATGAGTTTGAAGTGAAAGGGAAGGGAGAATTATGGCGTGCTAACTGACAGAGTTTGTTTTAGAAAACTACTGGGCCTGGTATGAGATAGCTCATCTGCCTCTTCCCCAGACGTCTCCTTCGCGATGTAAATTTGCGCGCAAAGGACGATAAGAAAAAGAAAACTTCGCCTCTATTTTACTTAGCCTTCTTAAGCTTTCTTTTTTTGTTCTCTTGATCCCTCGCGTTTCCTCACCGGTCACTTGCGTTTGTTGCTCGCCTTTGGTTGCACCAAAGAGAGCGAAAGACAAAGCGCTTGTTGATGATAGTAATGAGGAGGAGGAAGCAGACTTCACACAGCTTAAGTTCGTGATAATTCAACTGAAACATACTCTGATTTAGCTCGAACGGATGACATTGTTCCGATCGTGGAATGACAGAGACAATTAAAACGTTTTCATTTCGTTTGGTTTCAGGATATTCAGCTCCTTAAACGTGCATACTCTGAATGAATTACTGGAAAGACGGAAGTGTATGGTGCTTTTCCTTGAAACTTTCTAAAGTTTCATGAAAACCTGATTCATAAATAATGTGCGGAAACGTATCTCAGCTAAACTGTTCTGAAACTAACGTACACACTGAAGACAGTTGGAAACTTCAGTTGAAGGTTGAGGATATCATTATGGCAGGACTTTTCAGTTTATTGGCTGTTGTCACTGTTACAACTAATCTTCTGGTACTTGCCTCATCAATTTCTGTGAACCAACGTCTACGATGCCCCACATATCTCCTTATTTTATCCTTATCAGTAGCTGATTTGACAGTGGGACTATTGTTACTTCCAACTCGAAGTATTGAGCTACTCTCGTACAGTTGGACAAGACAATTTATCTGGTGTAAAGTGACATTGTGTCTCAATCTGTTCAGTCTGAGCGCTTCCCTGCTAAATCTCTTGGCAGTGACCTTTGACCGATTTCTTGCCATCTCCTACTCTTTAATGTACAACACCATGATAACAAAACAAAGAATGTACGTAGCAATAACTGCTGTGTGGCTGACTGCGTTCTTCATGATACTATTCCCGCTATGCGGTGTTGGCATAAAGCCTTCGGAGGATTACCATCCCCAAAGAGTATGCAGCTATGGCGATCTACTGGAAAGAAAATACCTGGCTCTTTTCTTTGCCTCAATCTGCACAGTACCAACCATGATTATAACTGTGGCGTATTTTAAGATCTTTGTCCTTGCGCGCAGTCAGGAGAGACGGATAGCGTCATTACAGGTGTTTGTGGACAGAGGCTTGGCCCAGTCTGCGGTTAGTAGAGGGGATGGTCTTAATAGAGAGTCCAAGGCTGCTAAAACAGTAGGTACGATTCTTTTAGATCTGTTTTCAGACAACTACTGGCCTGCAAGCAATAGGTCTTTAAGGGCCTCTGGCACAAGCACATAAAGTGTTTCTTGATTTCACTCATTTAGTTCTTTTCGGTCAAAAGAAGCCTGAAGACTGAGCTTGCTCGCAAGCTACAGACCAACAGATTATACTTCATGCCTTTTTAGGAAATTTTCAGTCACCTTTAACTCAGTAAGTGTCTCTCTCGTGACCATACTCTTCGTTTGTATAGTGCACAGGTCTCAACACTTACTTCCGACACCACAGTGAAACAAAATCAAACAAACAAATCAAAGCTCAACTCAATGGTCCTTTTTCCTTAGTTCAGTCACAAAGTTAATTGCAAAATTATCATCAGTATCACAAACGTGACAGTGCCAGCATACTTTGCTTTCCCATGATTGCATCGGTTTAAACTACGGAGCTACAAACTTAGCATTAGGATGTCAGTAAGAAGTAAATGCTATCGGAGTTGCTGCCAAGAGTAGAGAAAAGGGTTGACATTTATTCACAGAAAATTTGCACTGATATCTACCTCGTTCCCAGTCGCTCGCGATCTTCGGGGGTGAAAGGAGTGATGGGAAAGGATCACTCCCTGCTCGCGCTCTGCGCTCGTTCCCATGATCCCCCTCTCGCGCTTCCCACTTGTCTCTAGTCCTCTCGCTTCTCGCTTGTTCCGTGCTCCTTCTAAGCCTTGGGAAAGCTTATGGAGGAGGCAGCACTGGCGGATATCTCAAGTTAGGCATGCCAAAAATTCTGAGACTGACTCAGAGAGAAGGAACCTCTTCTCTGAGGTTTCGATAACTGTGACCACCATGGAAATGATGAGTGCGGATGTGATCAAGCTGAATGATGACATTTTCTCTCTAAGTTTTTGGGAAGAAAGAAATAGTCTTTGATCCCAGCCGGGCGAAAACTCATATAGTTTAGACTTTGACTAACTTTATTAATGTTTCAAATCTTAAAACTGAAACTTTTTTCGTTTACTTTTTTTCTTAAAGCAATCGTCATCGGTCTGTTTTATCTCTCCTGGAGTCCATTCTTCGCTATCATACTCTTGGCAATATTCAGGAATGAGGCTCCGCCTTACGCCTTTGTTTCTATCACAACCTTGATGGTGACCTCAAATTCTGCCATCAACCCCCTCGTTTATGGCTGCCTCAATCAAGATTTTAAGATCACGTTCAGGAAAATTGTTCACTCCTGCCGAACTCACATCCTGAGGAAACACAAGCTCTCGCCTCCAATCGCTATGGCAATAAAGAAGTCCGAAAAACAGACCATCACGGCTACTATCCCAGCCACGCCCCTCGAGACGGTTGCACGAAGTAACCATTCAGTTTTCCTCTTCTGATGCGTCAAATGTTGT